AACAAACTAAAACTAAACTTTTATGGGAGTTCTTTTGGTAACCCGGGAAGGGCAAGTATAGGGGGTGTGATTAGAAATCATCTAGGTGAAGTTGTGGCACTCTTCTCAGGACCAATAGGTATTGGTGACTCAATATAGGCTGAATCTTTGGCTCTACTTCAAGGTTTAAAGATGGCTGAGCAGATTGGTACAACAGATTTAGAAATAGAAGGAGACTCACTGCTGGTCATTTCTTGGGCTAAAAACATCACATCAGCACCTTGGAAGCTCAAATTTATATACAGAGAAATTGACATAATTGCAAAGAGGTTCAACTCTCAGTTTGGTTGGGTCAAAAGGACTGCAAATGGGTTGGCGGACACCCTAGCAAAACAGGGGGCAAATAGATCTACCTTGTACTGGGCAGAACTGTAAATGTTTTGTAGTGTTTGCAGATTGGGTTAATGCATTCTGCAACCTATAATTATTGTATTTCAATATTTCTCTGTTATTAATAGAAGTCTTTTAGCTGTTAAAAAAAAAAAAACATGTTAAAGAGATTCGGGTGCAAGATACAAATGTGCTGATTGTAGTAGATCCTAATAAGTGACTTTACCTATCAAGTTCAACCAGAACTAATTCAAGAATTACAACCTGACATAGAACAAGTTCGACCAACATCAAAATGGAAGGAGTCCTAGAGTTTGTTGAAGAACTAAGGATAGCAGAACACATACAGATGGTGATTCTAAGCTAGAGGTTGAAGGAAATGTTCCAAATGTTGCAGTTGAGAGTTTCTATAAGCGAGGGGAAGATTCATCACAATCGATGGTTGATGAATTCAGTATTCAAGAAACTAATGTTATTGATGATTTAACAAAGATGGTTATGGAGGGCAGTGTTTCAGAAATACATTTCTTTCAAGATCCTTTTCTAGTTCTGTGTGTGGCCTCTACTCTACAATCCAAGCACGTAGCTGTGGAAAGTCCTACTCCTTTTGTAATTGGGGGGCATATCAACTTTTCATCCTCAAGTTCTTCAAAACTCGAGGACAAGCTTTTTTGAACCGGGGGAGAATGATGCAGGAGCTGAAGAGTCAAAATTGGAATTTTATGATATTTTGTGTACTGCATTTTTGGACAATAGGGGTATTTTTGTCACTTTTGCAATATAGGGTTTAATATGTCTAGTTATAGTTTGTTATGTTCAAAATTTCAGTCATTGCATAAGTAGGAGTCTTCTTTGAATTGAAATAGAATATGACAAATTAGTTTGAGCTCTACTCAGATTATTGAGTCTAACAGTTTGACTCCTAAGACTATAACGAGTCTAACAGTTTGACTCCTAGGATTATTATAAGTTTAGAGTCTATAAATGAATTATATTGAGTTTTACACAAAGGCAATGAATTATATTGAGTTTTCTTCAGCTTATGCTAGTTATGGAGAGCGACTCCCATGCCCTAGAGTGATTATAGGCACCCTGTGAGTGATTCCAGGTATTTTCTCTCTTCTTTCTCTTATTCCTTCAAGAAGCCATTAGAACCATTGACAGCCATAAAACTCTGATAATAAGACCATTCAACATTCTCTAAGGACTAGAACTGAACTGGTCCTCCATCAACTGCCTTGTCATATTGTCCCAATTTGAATCAATGAATCAACTGACCATTCAAGGATCATGATTCAAATCAACAAATGGAATAAACAGCCCAAGAGTTAGCTTGTTGAGTCTTCTCTTAAAATATCTGCTGGGACCACCACTTGATGAATTTTATATGACAAAGTTGAGCTATATGAATGATGGTTGAAGAAAATACAGAATGGATTGGTCACACAAGACAGAAAAGGAGATGATAAACCAGATTGTCAAGCATTGCAATGCATCATGTTTATTAGATTATTAGTATACCACTGAGATTTACCCCCCACATATAGCAATTAGGTACCTTACATAATCCTCATCCTTGTAAGAGATCCACTTGTAAGGGAGTCTCCTTTCACTCTAAAGAACCAATCATCTTGAGACAAGAAACTGAAATCAATGAATAAAATAAAATACAAAGATAGAATTGAAACAATGCACATCAGAACTTATTTATATTTCACATACGTCTACTTTAAATTTCTATTCTTTTCATGGATGTTTCTTTTTTATGCTGATGTGCAAGGAATCACTTTGACACAATTTTTTCCATTTTTATCAAAAGCTCAAATGCAGAAGTACCTTTCATTAGGCTGATAAAAAAAAAGGTACCCTTCATTAGATCAATCATCCATGTTACCAAGCAACAAATATACCAGTAGAAGGTCTAGCACAATGCTAATAATTTCATGCTAAATGACAGTTACCTCATAGAGGTTTATAATTGGCTAGGAAAAAAATGAAAAGGAAAGTCTGTAAAATTTTAAGTTAATGGTAAGAGTATCGGGGAAACATATCAATGGTAGAAGCAGCAGATGTCTAGGATGAAGGGATGGGAGATCCATCATATGGATGGCTGAACCCTGCAGGAAGGTTGGGCGAAATTTCAAAAATTTCTTTACTCCCATTCGAGAATCTTATTCCCAGTTTAGAAAACTGCATTTTCAAGGTTCGTTCTTGTAACCAAACCAGACCAAATCTGAAACCAAATTAAGGGAAGGATACACCTGATACGGAATCCACACAAGAATGCTCCTCCCAACATAGGTGTTCACGCCCAAAGAGTGTACCAAATCCTCTCTCCACTGAAGATGACACAACTTAGGATGAGGTAGGATCAGCAGGTAGTTCTTCACCAAGAACTAGTGATTCTTCAGCAAGAATCGAATGGGACAGTGAGCACAACTTCTAAATTGTTTCTTCTGGAAAGAAACAATATCAAGATCAAATCTTGATCCAATCCAAGAACTGGAGATCGAAAAGGGTAGGGCAGCAAGAGCAGAAGGCAAGAGCAGTCTAACTGTGTTGTCTTCTCTCTGTATTCAGCGAATGTGTCTTTGGAGGTTCGCCTTGCTCTCTTATTTATAGCCTTAAAGAGACAATTTCCTAATCTCATTAGGAGTTTCCTGATCCAAATCTTTTATTTGGATCTGGACTCTTTAAGTGATAAGGACAATCCCTTATCTTATCTGTAGATAAAGATCAGCCTTCCTAATCAAATCAGGAGTTCCTTTGATCGAAATCTTTATTTGGATTTGGACTCTTTAAGTGGATAAGGATAATCCCTTATCTTATCTACTGATCCAAATCCCAGATCCGCCCCTATTTAAATAATCTAATTAACCCAGTTCAAAATGGGCTTTTAGGCCCATTAAGCTTTCAGGCTCACTTCCTATTTAATGCTGGCTAGTTTGGCTCTCTTTGTATGGCATGGGACCCTATCATTGATCTACACATCAGCCACATGGGTTCAGCCTAGCCTCTRTTACAAGGCCTGACCGAATTCACTGTTGAATGCAGTGAACCCCTGAGTCCATTACTATGGGCTCTTAATGGGCCCAACATTTACACTAAACGGTCCTTGGGTCTAGCCATCTTATGAAGGCCCAAGGACTGCGGGCAGATGTTAGATTAGCCCATCAGGTATAATCCTCAATGGTCTTACACTTAACCTCTCAGCCCATAATGATCAAACACTGCCCAGCAAGAGATGACCTCTCCTTCGGCTGCAAGGTGCAATGCTACACTCTCTACTCACATGGATCCCGGAAATTAAAACCTTTTGCAAACATTTTGAAACCATAATATATATATATATATATATATATTATATCTCTATATAAATATGTTTTGCAAAAACAAATTTCAATGGTTGAAATCAATTGCCGGTAGTTTAGGTTTCTATCAGAGAGAGTGCATCCCTGATCATTCACTTTGTCCGACAAAAGGGTTGATCATGACACTATGATCACCCACTCAGATGAATTCTCGAATTGTCCCAACATACCCAGGTTTTGACCCCTTTAAGGATCTCACTAATTGGCATATCAAAGACAGCCCAATCCGACACCTAGTGCAGTATCATAATCGAGTCTAGGGGTCAGGTGTAACATTCCAGTTTTGCCTATTTATTTCTAAGGTCCAGGGCAATACTGGAATTTTGGTTCAATTCAGGGTTTCAAGAAAACCCACATTACATGTACCTTAGGTCTCACCCTGGCAGCTGAGACAAGCCACCCCAACTAACTTGGTGGTACATCAGTGTCGGCCTTGGCAGGATAAATCTCTCTAGATCTATCCAACGGCTGTAAAGATTCTAAACTAACACGAGTCTCATATGTGTCTAGCTTAAGGGTATTACACAGAAACACGCCATAATAACATGAATCAAATATGTACTTTATTCATTTACAATAAATGTCATAATGTACATCATGCTGATTAGAGCTAAGGGCATACATTGTCTAACATAGGAGACTAGGAGAAGGCTCAACACTTAATTGAGAGTGGTGATGAATGAGATTAGGTTACATGCATAGACAAAAGAAAGGCATCAATAAGTGCTTTAAACTTCATTAAATCATGATGGCCCTTTAGTTAAGCAAGACAAACTTTTGCATGTCAACTTGCTAAGTATTTCACGAATTTATTGGAAATAATAAGAGTTTATGCAGATCACACTTTTGCCAACAGAGAATGAGCAATTAAAACAGATCAGGGACCATGCCATAACAAATAGAAGCCTCTACACATCAAGTGAAATGATAAACATGGGTAATTGGGAATCCAAGCAAATTAAGTATGGATTATTAGTTCAGAGATCAAGTTGATGTAATTATGAAAACAGGATTTATTCTGCTGATACACTTTGGTGGGATATCATAGACAATTATGCAACAATATAAACTATAACTAGAATATAGTATATCTAGAGATTATGAAAGTTACAGAAAGAAAGGTTTCTATCAGAATGGCAAAACTCAAAACCAATTGTAGAGAAGCATTGAACTATCACAAACAAAGTGATCTCAACATCTTATTTTGCAACCAGCTTTTGTGATATGAAGAACCACAAGAAAGAGAGAAATAAAACAAACCGTGTCCCATATTTGCAACTTTATTGGCTTGTTATCAATAGTGATCATTCTGGCACCGAATTCAACGCCAATTGTTAAGTCATGCACTGGTTGGAACCGCTTATCTGTGAACTGTAGAAGAAGACATGATTTCCCAACTCCTGTAAAACAAAATTGAGAGAAAAAAAGAACTATATAAATTGCATTACTCTTCCCTTTCTTCTTAAATCTAATTTAACAACATGTAAAGAAGACAGCAAAAGATAACGCCCAGGTAGATAGTACAAGAACACATGCATAAAAAGTAAGTGCAAGACCTGAGAGATTAACTAAATGACATAGATAATAACAGATACGACCACTGTCTATTTTTAAAATTAATTTAAACAACAAAGATGATATGCATAAGTCAAAAGGAAAAAGGTTTTCTAAACAGGTAAAGTAGGGAGCTTCTCTACACAGCCCAACCTATTTCTGACATGTGGAGGGTGCTGTGGCCAATCTAGACTGTCCACCGGATAGGAGAATGACTGAAATTGGCGAAGTGTGGGCCTAGGAATTCAGCAGTTCATATCAGCTGTGTACCCAACCTTGTTTTGAAGTTTTGCCAAGAACAAGAAGAACGACAAGAAGAAGAGCTTTAATTTAAAAATACCAGCAAAAGGGGGTTGGATTCTTAAAATTTTAATTCAGAAACAACAATAAGAGCGGTTTATGTTGGATATGCAGTATGCACCAAAGACTTTCAGGCTAAACTTCTCATCCTTTTTCTGACATTTTAACATTAGATCATCCTGAAAATATTCCACGTGTCCAAGATAAACCACTCTCATTTCTGTTTTTGGATTTAAGTTTAAAAATTGCAATCCTTTTTGCTGGTATTTCTAAATAAGAGAACTAAAACATAGATTGTTAAAATCACTTGGAAATCTCCTATACAAAGTTGGGCATGGGTAGACATGGGATAGTCAGGAAAACGCATGTTAAAAGGGTCCTCCTCTGGTGGAGGGTATGGATTAACCATAGCATCTCTCCACATATATGGACACAGGTTTGCTAGTTGAATTTCATTATACAAGTCTTAACAGCTAAGAATCTTCAATATGGTGCTATGATTATTGGTCCAAAAAGGACCCACATTTTCCTCATCACCTGTTATGCATGAGGCAAGTTTCAGAGAAAAGGAAAACCCTTCCAGTATGTACAAATCAAGATATCTTTGTTGCAATTATCCTCATTGGTCTTCTCAAAATCAGTTGATCTTAACACCCATGATGACCTCTTAGTCCTAACTGCTTGTTCTCTCTCCTCTTTCTTTAAGGTTCTCCATGGTAGTGTTCTTAGTCCTCCATGTCTCTGGTAGAAGCTATTTAGCCAAGCCCCATATATCCAAAATTAAAGCCATATGTTGGGTAGCAGTGCATATGAAGGGTTAAACATCTGAGATTTTCCAGCATAGATGAAAACCTTGAAAATCATGTTTTCATATTTGCATCTTGTGGAAGAAAAGTGTGATGCCACTATGCCAGTTAATCGCCTCTCTTTAGCTAATGGTGGCACAACTCTCTATGAATAACCCAACCCTATTTGGAGATAGTCTTCTATCACCTTGCACTAGGAGAGGATGTATTGTGCAAAGCAACAGAGATAGTATTCTTTGGAGCATTTGGGAGAATAGATGTTCAAATTTTCTCTTATATGGTCCAGCCTTCATATATTACTGTTAATATTGTCAGGGCTAGAGTAGCCAATTGGATCTTAAAAAGAGACAAGTTCATAGGCATCTTGATGGACTCAGTGAAACAGTGGTTAGAGGACAAAGCTTGTCATGCAAGAGTGCTCCCTTCTGACACAAGGAGCTATTGAACTGAAGTTTGATGAGTGTTTTTATAGGAACCTGAAGATATGAAGTTGGTGGAGTCTTCGGAGAGTATGAGATAAAGTCATTTAAGTATTTTTCCAGCAAATAATGACCTTCAGATTTCTGGATTGATGTTCTCTTTAGACCTCAGTTGCTGGTATGCTGGTACTGAAAGGCTTTTTGAGAAGTGCTGGACTCTGAGACTATCAGAGAAGGCAAATGTTTTTATTTGTTGTTACATTTTCACATCTCCAATATGTGGGTCTGGCAGCAAAGTATTACCACTAAACAAGAAAAATAAAAGTGGGTTTTTGTGGAATCAAATTTGAATAAATCAGAAAACACCAATATGATCGCTGATTGCCGGTGGAGGATCCAAGATTATTCAACAATGGAATAGAAAATTAAGAACAAAACATGGAAGATTTTATCGCTGAGTTCAAATGTTTAACAACACTGACGGAAAATAAACAGATAGCAATAAAAGCGTACACAATAAACCACTAAACGTTCAATTGTAGATATGGGTAGGTCTACATGCAATACTGAACTCAGCAGATCTCTATATTTGGGACATGGATCCTCAATCATGAATTGATCATACATGCATTCCGTGATTAAAACAGCCTAATTTGACTACACAGACATCCATCATCAATTAAAACACAGTTAAACCTATCAGGAACTTTTGAATCAGATAAACTCCAAATTCATAAATATGTGATCCATGTCCAAATTGAACATAAGCATGCACAGAGTACGAATATAGTGTTGGTAGAATTTGAGACGACGAAACTCATTGAAAATTTCATTTAGAAAAAATGCCCATATTCCTAAACAGTGTCCCATGTCCAAATCTAATACATGACTAGCAACCAATACAGAAAATGAAACGATTAAAGATCGTGATTCAAATAAATTTATAAGAAAAATATCGGGATGGGTTGATCAGAGTAAATTACCGGTGTCTCCGATGACTATATATTTGAAGAGATACGCGTACGACATCTTTGACAATTCTACTGAGAGAGAGACGGGGGAAGATCTTGAAGAAGGTTTATTTCAACGGCGAAAGAGGAAGAATAGAAAAAACAAGACTGAGATGATTAATTTGTTTGAAAAAAGTAAGAATAAAGAAAAGGTGATAGACAGAAATAAAGAAGAGTTAATTATTATGATTATTATTATTATTGTTGCTACATAAACAAGTTGATTGAAATCAGAAGAGCGGTTTCATGAAAGCTTTATTCAAGAGGGAGAGATGTGTGCGTTGGATTCATAAGCCTATCCTCGCTGTCATTGTTCCAACCGTGAAGAAAACCAAGATAACTGAGAAGTAGGAATTAGGAATGGAGTTGAGTCACGTGCTAACCCAGTTTTCTAGCACATGCGTCAAGAGGATCGGGTAAAGATATGTAGATATCCCACCCGTGACCCGGCACACAAGGACCTAGAACCACAAGAAAATACTTTTAACTTTTTTAGGGGTAGTGTAAGTTAATATTCGAATTTTCAAACGTGCCACTGTAATATTTAAACTTTTAAAAAGTATCAAGTTAGTCCCGACCATCAGTTATTTGTTGAAAATATCAAAACTATTCTTTAAAAGAAGACATGGTTTATTGTCTTCTACCTTGAGATTGAACCGGTTATATTCAAAGAAAATTAGAGAAAAAATATGAAATATGATAGAGGGAAACAATATTTGAAAGTAAAAAAATAATTAGAGAATAATGTGTTTCAGATCTAAAGGTAGAAGACAATGACTTAATTAGCTTAGAATCTTAAACACCTCAAATGGTTTAATCTCAAGGTAGAAGACAATGAACAATGTCTTCTTTTGAAGGGTAGTTTTGACATTTTCAAAAGATAATGATCAATTAATGGCAGAGGGCAACTTAACACTTTTTGAAAGTTTAAGTAATGCAATAACACATTTAAAAGTTTGAATACTAACTTGACACTACCCCCAAAGTTCAAGGTACTAAAGTAAATTTTTCCCTTTTTTTAGACAAGTAAATTACTTTTAAATTGGGATACAACTTCTAATGAGATAACCAAAAATGGAGCCATTGCTAGAATCATCCGCAAGGACCATAATCATTTGGGAGAACTAATCTAGTTTGTAGGCTATCGCATTTTTGTGACTTCAGCTACAGATACTGAATGCTAGACCATACGATTAGGATGCTTGGAGTGCTCTCGTTTGAACCTTAACAAAGTCTCAGGTGGCGTTTGATAAATCTGAAAATTCAGATCTGAAAAGTTAAAAAGATATTAAAAGTGTCTGAAATTTGAAAAGAGGCATAGATGCTTTTCTACTTTTTAGAGGGTCTGAATCCATAAGTTTGTTTGTTTTGGATCAACCCTTTACCATCTGAAATTTACTGATTTTACTATTTTACCCCTAGAACATACTCTTTGTAAATGTTGAGTTCAATTTGCATTATCTCATAAAAAATAATTTTCAACTTCAAAATAATATTGAAACAATACAAATAAAAAATAACAAATTAATAATTACTAATTAATAAATGAAATGATTAAAATTAAAAAAATAATTAATGACTATAAAAATATTAAAATAATTAAAAATTACTAGTTAATAACATTAATTAATAATTAATAAATAACACAAGTAAATTTAATAAAAATATTAAAATAATTAATAATTAATAAAAATGATTTATAATTAAATATTTTTACTCACCGAACCATCGTTGTTGCATGTTGCAGCGGTGGTGGTGGTGGTGAAAACACAGGGGAGGGAGGGAGGGAGGGAGGGAGAGAGAGAGAGAGAGAGAGAGCTGCCGCTGCAACTTGCAGCGGCGGTGGCAGTGGTGGGAACACAGGGGGAGGGAGAGAGACAGATAGAGAGAGAGAGAGTGAGAATGAGAGTGAGAGAGAGAAGACAATGGGAGAGAGAGAGTTGCCGCTACAACTTGCAGCGATAGTAGCGATGGTGGGAACACAGGGGAGAGAGAGAGAGAGAGAGAGCGGGAGCGAGAGCGAGAGAGAAGACAAGGGAGAGTGAGAGTCGCTCTTGCAAGTTGTAGTGGCGGTGGTGGTGGTGGGAACACAGGAGAGAGAGAGAAAGAGAGGCGTTCTTCCTCCCTGCGAAATGATTAGGTTTTTTGGATTTGGGGGTAATGAAGGGTAGAGCACGTAATTTCTAAAAAAAAATAGAAGAGTAGATTCGACCTTGCATCGGCTCTGAAACGCGTCTGAGCATGTTGAAAGCCGACCTAAGGTCTATTATTTTCAGATCTGAAAATAAGATCCAGACCATGTTTAAGAGGTAAAACCAAACAAGGGGTGAGGTATGAAAAGCAACATTTTCAGATTTAGACCTCTGAAAAGTGCAATCGAATGCCACCTTAGTGGAATCCAATTGCCTGAAAGAAATTTAACTATGTAAGAGCAACCAATTGAATTCAAGTGATCCTACTAGCAATTTAATAGCGGACATAGTAAGCTATCCAAAAACTTTGGCTCAATCACTTTCTCACATACCAACTGAGTGGTAGCCCAGTTGGTATGCTGGATGAACTATTTCTGGTGCGGTTTCAAATCCTTCTATCATCATCATCTTTGTAAAAAAAGAATTGTGTATTTTTTTGAGGTTGTATTGGTCACTTAAAATGTAAGTGGCACTTTCTAATTCAAGTTATCCATGGATGTATCCCCCTTAGGGGTTTCAAATCGATTTTGTTTTTTTTTTTTTTACTTTTTTTGTTTTTTTTCTAAAACTGGTTTAGGGGGCTGGTTTAGGGCTCCTCCACCCCTGAACCGGTCAGACCCCCGATACGCCCACTAGAGGGGTGTATCAGCTGATACGGGCCGATACGTATCGATACTTTGAACCTTGCAACTAATAAGTAATCCAGTTTTCTTACCCAAAAAAAATACCCTCAAGTTAATGCATCCAAATGAAAAAAGTAAACACATAAGCTCGACTCAAATAAGTGAAATAAAAGTCATGGATTTATTGTTGCTTGTTAATTGAAAAAATAAGAGTAAAATGTTCACCCTAAATTGAGTTTTTTCTGGCTTTCTATTTATTTTCTTAGGTAGAATATGGCTTGAACGTTATATATCATTAATAAATTAATCTGAAAATTCATCAAAACACCAGGCTCCATTTAGGGAGAGTGTGAATACATATGTGTTCACAAAACTCCATATTTGTATTTCTAAACCTTTGCATTGAACAAATTTGCATTTGCATTTGCACTCTTCCCAAATGAAGGATTAATAACTTAGATATAATACCTAATTGATTAAAGCAATTAAATTAATTAAATTCCATGAGACTTGGACCTATAAACCATTAGTTGAAAACACAGTACTTAAACTAGGGTTTGATTATGAACCAAAAAGACATGCTTGGTACCTGAAAAACTTGTAGATTTAACTGGCTAATAAACATATATTATATGTATATATGTGCATATGTGGAAAGTAACTCCATAAACATACATACATATATCTATCTATCTATCTATCTATATATATATATATATATTATATCTTTATCATTGGTTTCATAAATATCATTGGTTCCATAAATATATCTTTAATGTTGTTAAAATATTTGATGATAATTACACTTTGTGAAATGTAAACCAATGAAAAGTAAGTGGACCATATGATGTATTAATATGATTGGTTGAAACATTGGTGTAATGTGTTAAAAAAAAATAAAAAAGCACCATAAATAACAAATCAAAATTGGAGCATGTAAATTGATTGTATTTCCTACCATGTAAAATTGTTAGAGCCACAGACTTGCTCGTGGCAATAAGTTTAGGGCTGCAACTTGGGTTGGGTTAGGGTTGAGGCGTTGACATACACAAATTTATATCATATTTGTCTCCATAACTATTATATAAATATGTATTTATGTATGTAAATACTTATGTATATATATACATATTTATGTATGTATGTATCTACATACACACACACACACACATGCCACCTTGCTTCTCCTTGCTCCATTACCCCAACCTTACATTCTCCTTGATACCCTCTCCTCTCCTCTCCCCCTTCCCACCACTCCCAATTTTCCATCTTAGCATCCTCTCTCTTCATTCCTTTCCCTTCCCATTGGGTTCTCTCTCTCCCCCCCACAACTCAAGTCTCTTACTTTCTATAACAACCTAACTTCTCTCATTAATTAGCCTAATATATGTTTTATCCTCTTCTTCACTTCTATCTCTAATTCCCCTCTATTCCCTTCACTTTTCCATAAAAATAGGGCCATAATTTATTAAGATTTTCTTTTCCAAATCAAACAATATTTATATCGATAGAGGTGATTTCAAGCAAAGAGAGGGGAATAAGGGGAATTTGATGTTTCCTATATACTCATGGCATCTTTCATTATTATTATTAAATAATCTATTCTTAAATAATAATCAATTACTAAATAATCCACTAGTTATGAAAATTATTAAAAACTTTCTAGAAAATATTCTACCAAAAATTATGAAATAATTATTTCAGAAATAATCCATTATTTAACAAATATTAAATAATTTAATAATCTACCAAAAATTAATAAACAATCCATTATTTAATAATTTTTGGTTATTAATAAATGTTCAAAATTTTAACGTTTAGCGTAATTTACATTAATCATTGTAATTTAATAAATTTTCATTAATTTTTTACAATAATAATTTATTGATAAAATATGTTACTAATTAGCGTAATTTACTAATTTCTATAAATCAATAATTATAGTTAACAATTATCAAATAATTTAGGGAAACTCTTTAACTAATAATCCATAATTATTTTTCAAATAATTATTTAAAAATTAATCTATGAAAAAATATTCATCAAAATTATTTAAATAATAATCCATTATTATTATTATTCAACTAAATAATTATTAAAAAATTTAGGAAAACTAAATTAGGAAATTAATCTTTCATTATTATTTAAATAACAATCCATTATTATTATTTCAATAAATAATTGTTAAATAATTTTGGAAAATTATTAAGTCTATCCACACCAACCTAGACCACTTGGTTGACTTTAATCATACCTGGTTTTACATTAATTAACAACAAATGATTTACTTTTAATTAAAAATAATGTAATTTGCCATAATTACATTTACTTTAATTAATAGTAAATAATTTAGGCTTAAAAAGTAAAATATTTACATAATTTATTATTATTGTAAATAAATAATTTACTATACATTACTACTAATTAATAGCAATTTCAATAATTTTTTGGAAATTATC